GTACACAACTTATCTAACATACCATTAAAGCAAGCAATATGAAGCCAATGTCCAAAACCTAAGACATCTGTTTCTAATGCATGTAGAATCATGCTTATTTTCACTCTACACATAGTGTTGCTACCAGGTAAAAAGGAACCACACAAACAAATATCCAAGATGATCCAATGGTTAGAGCACTAGCTTGGGACTCAGGAGACTAGGATTCAATTCCCTGCTCAGCTACAGATTTCTGGTGTGTCTTTGGGGAAATCAACTAGTCTCTCTGTGCCTCACTTCCCCGTCTGTAAAATGGGGATAACAACACTTCCCTACCTCACAGGAGTGTTGTGAGGATGAATACATTAAAGATTGTGACTCACTCAGGTACTATGGTAATGGAAGCTATGTGAAGACCTTAGATAAATAGTTTCATAGAGCTTCAGGCCAGAAGAAATCATTAGATCATCTAGTCTGACCTCCTGTATATCACATGCCATTAAATTCCACCTAAATTGAGCCTATTGCCTTCAGTTAAACCAAAACATTTTACTCCTCAGGAGAGTATACTGATGTGTACCACAGGCAGAGAAAAGGAAAGACTGAGGCACAACCAATGCCCGAAGCCCTATGATGGCCAGGAATTGAGTAGATGAAATATACCCAGATGATCCTAGCAGACAAGTCACAACCCACACTGTAGAGGAAGATGAAACATAGCCAAGGTCCCTAACAATCTAACCTGGGGAAATTCCTTTCTGATCCCAAATCTGGCAATCAGTTAGATCCTGAGCATGTGAGCAAGACACACCAGCCAGCCATCTAAAACAGAGGATTTTCATACCACTGGCCTAGCCCACCCTCACTAGCCATGGCAGATCTCTGATGCTTTAGAGTAAGGAGAATGGGGGGGGGGGGACAACAACAAAACTCAAAACACAGAGATTATAATTGTGCACTGGGGCAAAAAATTCCTTCCTAACCTCTGCTCGAAGCCCTGAAACAGGAGATTCCATTATAACCATTATCATCATACAGAACTACAAGTGTTATGAGCATGTTGGATTTATCTTTAATAACTTTAAGACTGCTAGTTTGTGGATACCTTCCAGTATCAGCAGTATCATGCCAAGGGTTAAACAAAACCAGCATAAACATGAAAAACAAAAACAAAATAAAATGACAACCCCAATCTTTCAAAGAGTTCAAGTAATCAAAAACCCGCCATTAATGGCATTTGGGATAACCACAGGAGCAGTATACTGTGTGAACTGCTATTGAGAGAAGTGACTTACCTTCATTTAAATATAGGTCAAATAACTGGGCTTATGCTCTGCTCATACTAGAGTAACAGAGTACAAGAAATGGAACATTTAACATGGCCAAATGGAAAAGTAATTAGAAATTAGCAAAAATATTTAAATAATTCCCCCAATATTTGCCTTCTCTAATGTTAAACATGAATCTACTGAGCAATAAACTCTAAAGAACTTATTCTCTTCTTCAAGTGTAAATCTATAAAATACTGAGCATTGGAAACTGCCAAATTACAACTAAATCATCATACCATAATATTAAACTACAAAGCCCTGACTGCACTGCCTAGGGACTGTCATTTTGTCTTCTGGATGCTCTCTGGTGTCTTTTTGTCTGCACCTTATTGTCTGGTTAGTCAAAAACGGGATAGGGACTGTCTCTACCTCTCTGTTCTGTACAGCATCATGTACATTGATGGCACTCAAATAAATACATAATAAAGCCTATAACAATAATCATATTACAAGCAGGGCTACAGAATTCAAGCTTTTTGTTTCCTACAATGAACATGGGGACTCAGGATATGTCTATACTGCAACATAAGCCCAGGCATAGACGACTCATACAGTAACTCCTCACTTAACGTCCTCTCGCTTAACGTTGTTTCAAAGTTACGTCGCTGCTCCATTAGGGAACATACTCATTTAAAGTTGTGCAATGCTCCCTTATAACGTCGTTTGGCTGACTTTACAAGGGAGCATTGCAAAAGTTCCTCTTCTCCGCCTCCTCCCCCTCCCTTTCTCCCTCCCTCCCAGCGCTTCCCCTGCCGCCAAACAGCTGTTTGGCGGCGCTTAGGAGTTTCTGGGAGGGAGGGAGCCAGCGTGCGAGGGAAGCTGCCCCGTCCCTGCCCTCCCCCGGCGGGCAGGGCCACCCAGAATGCAGGGGCTTTTAAGGGCTGCAGGGCCCTGGGCTCAGGGGGCCCCGGCCTGCAGCTCTAAAGTCCCTTTCAGAATGCGGCCCTGCGAGCACGGGCCGGATGACTCAGGAGGAGCAGGGACAGCCACGCAGCCAGCGGCCTGAGAGAAGTGGCGCTTTCCCCTTCAAAGCCGGCCGGAGAGAAGCGGCGCTTTGAAGGGGAAATCGCGGCTCCCAGAATCGCGGCTATGGGGGTGGTGCCGCGCTGCGCAGAGTCACCTGCACACCCTCTGCACCAAACAGGAGCTGCCCCAGGTAAGTGCTCTGCATCTCCTGCCTGCCCCAGCCCTGAGCCTCCTCCTGCACCCCCACCCTGAGCGCCCTCCCGCACCCTAACTCCCTCCCAGTCCCTACCCTCCACCCTGAGCGCCCTCCCGCACCCTAATTCCCTCCCAGTCCCCACCCTCCACGCTGAGCACCCTCCTGCACCCTAACTCCCTCCCAGACCCTGCACCCCCAGCCCTGAGCCCCAGGGGTAAGCCAGAGGCACCTCCCCACCACAGTACAGTACAGAATATAATGCCTTTTGTCTGCCCCCCCCCAAATTTCCTTGGAACCTAACCCCCCTCATTTACATTAAATCTTATGGGAAAATTGGATTAGTTTAGCATCGTTTCACTTAAAGTTGTATTTTTCAGGAACATAACTACAACGTTAAGTGAGGAGCTACTGTACCTCCTGATACTTGGGGGAACAATCTAAAGGGGGAGGACATGTGATTGTCCCATGTGTCTCCTCTGCCCAGCGACTTGCCCTCCCCGCCCCCGCCCAGCCCAAGGTCACCACGCTGTCCCTGCCCCCCACAGTTACCTGTGGGTGGGAGGTGCTCTGTCCTTCTCCTGCTGCACCTCCACCCCGGCACATTCGGCTGCTCTCCCTGGCAGTTGGGCCCGGGCGGGGAATGGGATGGAGCCGCTTCTCATGTGCTGAAGCTAGCTGCTCTGGGTCGCTGACTCTGTGCAGTTAAGTGGCTACCTGAGAGAGAGCCTGGCTAGGGAGGTGGCAGCGGTGAGCCACCCTGCCCGCCCAGGCCTGGCTACCAGGGACAGGGGCCGAGCAAACCAGAGTCCCCTCTCCCTCCTGGCATGTTTCCAGCTCACTCGGCCTCTGTTCCCGGCAGCCAGGTCTGGGCAGGCAGGGCGGCTCACTGCTGCCACCTCCCCAGCCAGGCTCTCAGGCAGCTGCTGCGCTGCACAGAGCAGCGACCCAGAGCAGCTGGTGTGAGAAGTGGCTGGTCCTGCCCCTTCTGCTCCCCGCCTGAGCCTGACTGCCAGGGACAGGGACTGAGCGTGCTGAGGGGCAGGCGCAGTGGGAGAAGGACAGAGCCAGGGCCGGCTCCAGGCACCAGCTTCTCAAGCAGGTGCTTGGGGTGGCCGCTCCGGAGAGGGGCGGCATGGCCAGGTATTCCGCGGCAATTCGGCGGACGGTCCGTCACTCCGCCTGGGAGTGAAGGACCTCCCGCCGAATTGCCGCCACAGATCGCGATCGCGGCTTTTTTTTTTTTTTTTTTGGCTGCTTGGGGCGGCCAAAACCCTGGAGCCAGCCCTGACAGAGCTCCTCTCCCTCTACCCTTCTGCCCTCCAGGACAAGCAGAAATCAGGCAGGGGCACTTGACCCCGCATGCCTCCCTACTCACCTATGAGCCCAGGGTTAGTGGGACTTGAGTCAGCTGATTTGTATTAGATCGCGGCCATAGGGGCGGTGCCGCGCCGAGCATCTACATTGTATTTTAACCCCATGTTAAGACTCTTCTAACCTGTGCTACAACCTTGGACTCTGACATCCACACTGCAGTGCACAGACCCAAGACAAAGTAATCACATCCCAGCATCCTCCCTTCCCCCCCCCAGAAGGTGGCTACTCTAGCCCTAGAACTGTGGTGCACTGTGGGAAAACTTTACTACCTGCCCTGCACATTACCAGGAAGCAGCACTTTTTGCAAAAGGATTGATCGGTTCACTCTCCATTGCAAATTCAGGAGACCCTCTGATAGTGTGCTTGCAGATCAGTGATCAGAAGAGAATGGGTTAATGCTGACCTAAGCTGCTGCCATTTGAAAAAGTCTTCTGTTTTCAGTGGAGTGGATTGCAGATTGTTAGGACAGAGAGGACTAAGGAAGTTGTTCCATGGATCTGTGGGATACTTCTGGCTGACACCAGGGACCCAAATCAAGCGGGGCCGCATCTACAATGCAAAGCAAAAGGGCTCAGACTCAGGTCTCGGCTTAACTCAAGCTCAGGCCTTCTAGCCCTGCAGAGTCCTGGGACCAAGCCCTCAATTAGTGCAATTGCAGTGTAGACACAAGGAGGGTTACGCTTGAGCCCAGGATCAAGCATGGGCTTACGTTGCAGTGTAGACATACCCCGAGAGTCTCCTCTCACCAGTTAAGATACCAGGGGATTGCCACAGACTTCAGTGGAGTAACACTAATTTACTCTGGCCTGAAAGGAGAATCAGCCCTTTTTTTTTGGTTAACTGTTGTAGTGCTTTGCCGTCCAGTGAAAATTGATGAAAACAATTACCAAGATGACTTTTATCTTGACACTGTATTTTCACATAAGTATTCTTTTGGTAATTTTATTACTTTGTTTACCTAGGATCGGTGGATTACCTACAGTTTGAGACCACTGATCCACCTAGTCTAGTATCTGGCTTCAAGCAGTGGCCAATGGCTAAATGTTTCAAAGGAAAGTGAAAAACACATACAGTAACAAAGCAATGCTGCAATGTTTAAGTTTGACATATAGACTATCACCTTTCAAATATTTCTCTTGAAACAAGTAACTTACAGGATCAGAAGGCCCACAGAAGTCTCTGAATACTTTCTGAGGATCAAGCTGCCTGATCTCTAGCGCTATACAAGGCCCTGAGCACAGTTCTGTAACCATCTCCTGGAAGAGGAAAAGATTAAAACAAATTTCAGTTTGTTAGTGTGTTATCGAGAGTTGTATTTCACATCAAAGTTGGATCCAAACACAAACAAGAAGAAATTATTAGGAAATGTTGGGGAAAACAGCAAGAAGAAATGGCAAAGGGTATAATTGGCATCCTTAGTTGAGAGAATTTACCCATATTTTGTTATTCAGGTTCACAACATGGAGGATAAGTTGGATCTCTAATTTCTTTAGGATGCCCAAATACCAGCAGTTGCCAAAGTACGTTTATTTCTCTGCATTTAGCCTGAGGTTGCAACCTTTTCATTCCTCACATGGATCTTGCTTCAGAGAGCCATAGCTTTGTCACCTTCAGACTAAGTTACTGCAACTTGCTGTACTTGGGTTTAAACCTGAAGAACATTTAAGCTATGTCTACAATGGCACTTTCGTTGCTAAAAAATTGTTGCTTAGGGGTGTGAAAAAAACACACCCCGCACGACAAAAGTTTTCGTGACAAAAAGTGCCGGTGTGGACAGCGCTTCGTCGGTGGGAGCCGTGCTCCCGGCGACGAAGCTACCACCCCTCATTAGAGGTGGTTTTATTTTGTAGCTGAGAGAGCGCTCTCCCGGCGATAAAGAGCGACCACACAGCGCACCTCACCATTGTAAGGTGCGTAGTGTAGACATAGCCTTAGACTCTTCAACTGGTTCAGAATGGAGCAACCTATTTACTTAGCAGCATTTCCCACAGGGGACACGACACACCTGACCTACGTAGTCTGTATAAACTAAGTTGGCAGTTTTAGCTGATAAAAACTTACATCATGCTTTAGGTCCTACCTCCCTTAGACACTGCCTCTTTCTTTAAGGAGAGTCTTAATTTGGGGAGGTGAGTTTTAACTATAGACACTGGTGCCAATTTGTAGTTTGCTAACAAGATTAATAGGGGTTCTTATGATCATATGACCTCCCGCATAACAGACCATAGATTGTGTGTGCACCTAGAGCTCTGGGCAGACACTTTTTAAACAAATCAAACGAAAGGAATTGAAACGGATGGGGAAAAGGGAAGACAGGAACAGGAAATGGGCGAAGGTGGTGAGAACAGGCTATGATGTCACCATTCTGGCACTCAGCAATGAGCTGCTCATAGGTCAACCCAGAGGCAAGCAGAGAACAAGAAAGTAAAGGGTAACAAGGAGATGAGGCATGTGGCCGAAAAACCTGGATCATGCCTATCCCAGCATGTAAGAATTAAGATTAAATGCGAAGAGAATTACATTCAAATGCTATGTTTCCAGAATGAGAGCAACTTCCCAATGAGATCCCTTTTGAGATCACTGATGAAATCCTGCCCCACTGAAGTCAATAGCATGCTCCCTTTGACATTAATGGGGCCAGGATTTCACCCCAGAACTTTTATTATAGGGTGTTCACAGGAAGAAGACAAGCACTTAACAAGGGGTGAGATTATTCCAAATTCCTAGGTTGCGTTATGAGGCACAAGGTTGAAGAGCAGATGCCTTCAGCTATAGTGCAATGCTAGATGGTATTATTACTATGAAACAAGCTCTAGTGCAGCTGCTTCCCAAGTTCATTGGTTCATATACCACCTTCTTAAACAATGGCTGTGAAGTGAATGGATGGAACATCAAGCTCACCTACCACGGTTTGGGAATCCCGCTCTACCAGTACACAGCATAATGGCACATCCCAAACGTGTAACTGTGTTTACAAAGTGATCATTTGTGGTTTGTTTTTTTCTAACAGTTATCGATGGACTCCTGCCCTAGGCAGTTAGAGGAAACACCAGCAAAGCTGGAATCTTTGGCAACTATTTCTCCTTTCATGAAGGACCATTTTATAGTTGTATACCAAGCCCACGTCTGAATGATCGATGATGATCCCTAGGAAATGAGGACAAGACCTTTGAAAAGGAAGCTGGGATTTGCATATGAAACAGCTTCTGCCCTGATAGTTCACCAGTCATGATGATTATTTTTAAGTCATTAAAAAAATATTAAAAACAAACAAATACCACAACAGGATGGAAAGCCCTAGAGATTGGAGTCACATATATGGAGGTCATATCCTGACTTATGTCCTCCTTCTTCTTCCCTCCTTGCTCCTTTCAGTTGCCTAGCACTGGCACTACCTCACTGCTCTTGGTGGAAGTGCCTTCTCTTACCATCTGGACTAGATTTCCTATATCTCTCTCTACCTCAGAGAAGACCAGACCTCCACCTGGGGAAATCCCATTTCCTTCACTTGAGTGCTCCAGGCACAGAGGGTTTGCAGGAGGTCTTGACTCAAAATTTTAGCTTCAAATCAGGGTGGATAAAAAAAAATCGGATTTTTTTAAATTAAATTGGATTTTTTTGAGGGAAAAACCTATCTAAAGATAAAGAAGGGTCTGGTGGCACCTTTAAGACTAATAGATTTATTTGGGCATAAGCTTTTGAGAGTAAAAAAACCCACTTCTTCAGATGCAAGGAGTGAAAATTACAGATACAGGCATAAATATACTGGCACATGAAAAGAAGGGAGTTACCTTACAAGTGGAGAACCAGTGTTGACAGGGCCAATTCAGTCAGGGTGGATGTGATCCACTCTCAATAACTGAGGAGGAGGTGTCAATACCCAGAGAGGGAAAATTGCTTTTGCAGTGAGCCAGCCACATAAACACCACCTTATACTGGAAACCTATTGACCACTATACGTACCTACATGCCTCCAGATTCCATCCAGGACACACCACACGATCCATTGTCTACAACCAAGCCCTAAGATACAACTGCATTTGCTCCAATCCCTCAGATAGAGACAAACACCTACAAGATCTTTATCAAGCATTCTTAAAACTACAATACCCACCTGGGGAAGTGAGGAAACAGATTGACGATCCCTCACTCTCACAGACCTTGGGAGGCAGGCCAGTCCTCACTTACAGACAGCGCCCCAACCTGAAGCAAATACTCACCAGCAACTACACACCACACCACAGAAACACTAACCCAGGAACTAATCCCTGTAACAAACCCCGTTGCCTTCTCTGTCCCCATATCTACTCTATTGACATCATCAGAGGACCCAACCACGTCAGTCACACCATCAGGGGCTCATTCATCTGCACATCTACTAATGGGATATATGCCATCATGTGCCAGCAATGCCCCTCTGCCATGTACATTGGCCAAACCGGACAGTCTCTACGTAAAAGAATAAATGGACACAAATCAGACATCAGGAATGGTAACATATAGAAGCAAGTAGGAGAACACTTCAATATCCCTGGACATTTAATAACATTTAAGAGTAGCCATCTTTCAACAAAAAAAAAACTTCAAAAACAGAGTTCAAAGAGAAATTGCAGAGCTACAATTCATTTCCAAACTTAACTCCATTAATCTGGGCTTGAATAGGGACTGGGAGTGGCTGGCTCACTACAAAAGCAGTTTTCCCTCTCTGGGTATTGACACCTCCTCATCAATTATTGGGAGTGGATCACATCCACCCTGAGTGAATTGGCCCTGTCAACACTGGTTCTCCACTTGTAAGGCAACTCCCTTCTTTTCATGTGCCAGTATATTTATGCCTGTATCTGTAATTTTCACTCCTTGCATCTGAAGAAGTGGGGTTTCTTACCCACAAAAGCTTATGCCCAAATAAATCTGTTAGTCTCTAAGGTGCCACCGGACTCCTCGCTGTTTTTGTGGATACAGACTAACACGGATACCCCTCAGATATCAAAAGATAGTTTTAATTAAGATACATTATAGCTCAAAGATATCTCATCATGGAATAGGGATTATAAATTCTAATTCTATAGTATGAGACAATATATTCATGTAATGCTTAAGAAAAGTTTTGTAAACTAGTTCCAATAGTTCATGGATTAGGGACCCAATCTTATGGGGTTCCAGGGGCTTCTGTATAGATTATTTAGGTTAATCTTTCTTTCTACCCAATGGGACTCAGTGCTCAGTCTAGAAGGTACCATCAGAGATGCTTAGTTTTGCAGTTCTCCAACTGTGGATTTTTGTCTCCAGAGATAACATGCTTGTTAACATCAAAAATGTTTTTAAATAAATAAATATATAAAGGTGAGAAATAACAGACCTCAGCCCTATTGTCCCTCTGCAAATTTGTGTACACAGAGTCAATCCCTTACCTCTCTCTAAAAGTGCAAAGTTTCTAAAAGTTCAATGAATAGAAGATTGTTGGGTGCAGAATAAATCTGGACAAGGAGAAGAAGTCTGGAGATAAATGTGAGAAGGGAGAGACAGGCAGTAGAAACAAAAGTGAAACTGTTTGAGCAGCATATTCCAGAAGTCTTGAGGTCTTTCTGAGTGTAGCCTTCATTGATTTGAGATCTACCACATCATTCTCTCCCTAGAAAGGAAAACCTATAATGGCAGCAGGCCATAAAAGAGACCCAGTTTGAGAATATTTTAATGAAGTTCGTCTATCTGTGGGTAAGACAGGCGTGCGTGCAAAATGCAAACAGTGCAACAAAGAAATGCAAGGCCTGGTTTCCTGAATGAAACAACATCATGAGAAGTGTTCCTTCTCAGGAGGAAGCTGCGTGAAGGAACGTGTCTGAACATGCAGGATCTTTAGGTTGGTAAACTTTTTTATTTCATACTTGTTTCTTAAGGACTGCCTGTCTTCCTTCTGAACTATTCTTGAATTCTCATGTTTGAGCAAAAAATATAGTTGTTACTCTATGGTACTATCATTTTAGATGCAGTTGTGATAAAAGATAAATAGCTGAAATAGGCAGATCTTCCTTTTACAATTTCACCTTTAAAGTAGTACTGAGTGTCAGTGAATGCAATGAGTAATACTAAATGAGCAGGATGGTAATAATTAAATAACTGCATTGACTTATTTTGTTTAGGAGAATCCACCCTCAACATACAGGATTCTGAAGACTATCCACCTTCAAGATCACCATCATTTTCTATAGTTTCAGAGTTATCTGCCAATGATAGTGTTTCAGTCACATCATGTATGTCACATAGTCACAGTATATCACCTGTAGTAAAAAGAAAAAAAATCTCCATCATCCAAAAACAACCATAGATAAGTTTGTAATAAGAACCAGGAGATTATAAAAAGAGGTAATTGATGAAAATTTTCCCAGTTTGTTTATGCAACAAATTCTCCTTTCTGTATGATTGAGAACCCACACTTCGTTAACATGGTTCAGTCATTAAGACCAGGATGCAGTCCACCCAACAGAGCAGATGTCACAGGCAAATTGCTGGATAAAGTGTCTGAAAGAGAAATTGAGCAGTGTGTAAAAGGTCTAGAGGGTGAAATTGTTAACCTGAGTCTTGATGGGTGGAGCAATGTCCACACTGATCCTGTTGTATGTGCTTGTGAGACAACAGAAGAAGGGAATGTCTTCCTTACAGAAACAATTGATACACCAGGAAATGCACACACAGCAGAATACTTACAAGAAGTAGCAGTAAAAGCTATAATAAACTGTGAAAAAAAAATTCAAATGTCTAGAATGCAGCTTGGTCACAAACAATGCTGCAAATGTATCTAAGATGAGAAGAAATAATTTAGAAGAGAGTCCCAAGCTAATAATATATGGTTGCAGTGCTCATTTGATGCACCTCCGAGCCAAAGATTTCAGTGTTCCAGAAATAAAGGCTAATGTTGTTGAAATTGCAAAATTCTTCCGTAACAATCACTTTGCAGCAGCTGCCCTGAAAAAAGCGGGAGGAACCAAGCTAACTCTCCCACAAGACGTGCGATGGAACTCAGTAGTGAACTGTTTTGAGCACTAGATCAAGAACTGGCCTAATCTGATGACATTTTGTGAACAAAATCGTGAACAAATAGATAGCACTATCACAGCCAAAGTTCTCAACATTGGGCTTAAGAGAAACATTGAACACATGCTGAGTACCCTGAAGCCTATTTCGGTAGCCTTGAACAAACTGCAGGGAAATAGCTGTTTTATTGCTGACTCTGTTGAAATTTAGAAGGAACTGAGTGAGATCTTAAAAAGAGAAATATGCAATGACAGAGTTAAATTACAAGCATTAAAAAAACGAATGGGACAAGCACTATCGCCAGCTCATTTTCTTGCAAATATTCTCAATACTCGGTACCAGAGTCAAACCTTAACTGCTGAAGAAAGAGTTGGTTGTGACATGGACATCCAGCAATCATCCCTCCATAATGCCAACTATAATAAACTTCAGAGCTAAGGGTGAACCATTCAAGAAATATGTTTGCTGATGATGATTTAAAGAGAGTCTCACCAGTGAACTGGTGAAAGTCACTTAAGCACTTAGATTCAGAGACTGAAGTGATAATCTGACTTTTAACAGCAGTAGCACTCCCTGAGGCATAAAAGTCAAATGGCCAGATCCCTTTGGAGTGCTGGTACCTCAATCCATATAACTTACATACTTCACAGGGACATTGTAAGTCTCTTTTCATTACTGTTTGCACAGTTCCCTGAAATCCTCAGAGGGAGGGTGTTGCAGAAATACAAAGTCACCTTATTATATTCCCATTGGTCCACAGGCACCCAGGAAGCCTTCAGTGCCCGTGCTCAAAGGCATTACAATGTACACAGACATCAGACCCCACTGAGGTTACAATATGCCTATTGGACCACACCGATTTCACAGAGATTCAAAAGACAGATCAACTTACATATGACATTAACCACCCAACCATCATAAAAATACTCAAACACCCCACGACCCACTGAGGACAAAGGAATAAATACATACAGAGTTTCTAGGCCAAACCACTTTTGAAATAGTACATTCAACAACAATATAAAACTAGACATTACACCAGCTCTACTAAAGTGAAATAGCTCAGTTCTGTTTTTCCAATCTGTTCTATTTCATAAATATCTTGGCCCAATGGTCCTCCACTTGTCCCACAAAAAATTTTCCTGTCTCAGAGTATACATGAGGAATTTCAGATGGATTGGTTCATTCTGGACCAACTCAGGGAGTGTTCAAAATCAGACTCCTGATAGAACTCTAGTCACAATCCTAAGTACAGAGAGAGGTGACCACCTCTCCTTAATTGCTATCTTATTTTTTAGTAGATTCTTTTCTAGTTGATACTTACAGTGTATTCAGCTACAACACCTTTGTAAATCTCATAGAATTCTTCCACATTCGCACGTTCCATGTTGAACTATGCAAAGGAAAAGGGTGAAAATGTTAGCCGAACTGTCTCCGAAGAAAAATCCAGCAAGCATTTAGCATACTCTTTATTTACCCCATAATGTATTTTGATGGTTTCCCCTGTGATAGGAAGGAAGGCTTTGAAGAATTCTTTTGCTGATGATGCATGGGGCAGATAGGTTGGAGATCATTCTTCAATAACCCAGCAAGCCCATACAACTAAGCAGTAAATATTGTATTTTCTCCATGAAGTTGGCAGATGCCACTTAAAGATAAATCAGGAGCAGGATGGGTTCAATGAAACCATTTTTACACAGTTCCTTTTCTGACCATAACGGTACTCTAAATTCCAAATTTGATTAGAAAGCCCAGCACCTCAGCTTGCACTAATTGATTCCATTAATGGAGTCTCAATGAGCAAGCAAATAGGCCAAGGAGGCTGAACTACCTTCTGAACTCTGGAGTCTGTCCTTCCAGGTCAGGATTGAAGCATATTAGTGGGGGTTATGTGGGGGAAACGTTCGCTTTGCTTCTTCCCATGTTGAAACTGCTCTGTGGCCAAATAGATTATTTCAGTCTCAAAGGCTTTCACGAGTATTAAGGGTGGGATTTTCAAAATCCCTTAGGCAACTTTGAAAATCCTATCTTAAATTCACACTAAATGTTATATAAAAAAAACTCTAAGCAGATTATTATTAATACTTAGCACTTTCATGAGTAGATCTCGAAGTGCTCTATAAAAGACGTCAGAATCATTACTGCCATTTTACAGATGAAGAAACTGAGGCACGGAGAGGCAAAGTGACTTGGACTTGTCCAAGATCCCCCATTAGTGATACATCAGCCATAAATTTAAAAGAAAAAAATCCTAATGTTGACAACCTTGTCACCCCATCTACAAAAATAACTGTCCCCTCAAAAAAATGAAAACACAAAATGAAAACAACCCTCCCCCAAAACCCTGCAACAATCATATCACCCAATCAAACAAACAAACAAAAACATACCCCCAAACAGTTCTGATGCTAAAAAAGGGAGAGGCACCAGAGACTCCATTAAGTCCACTAGGGACTCTATAATTGCTGTTGATTTTATGTGGAAGGCACTCACATACTACGATGAGAGGCAGCAGTATAAAATCTTAAGACAGAGACTCATTCTGCATCACAGATGTACATAGAAGTGCCAGGCTTCCAACATTCTTCCCAATACATCTTTAATTTGACAGTCCACATTCCTATGTTGAGATTTTTTTTTAATTAAAGAAAGTGGCAATCATGCAACTTTGCTCTAGATCCAGTTAAATGGGAAACGGAAACATATGAAATGCATGAGGATACTTACCAACTGCAAAGCCGAGATTTCAAAACCCCCATCAAGGATGGCTTTTATGATCTTTCCAGTTAGCCCTTTGGAGATACAAACACACACATTCATAAAATAATTAATGAAATTTACAGTATATAGGTATAGCAGGTACTTCATATACTACATGTTTTCTTGTCAAAACACAGCATTTATGTTATCTCTATAAAGCTGAAATAAAGCAGAGCAGAATAGTCAGATATCCTAACCTTTCTGAAATCCTTTGGAAGTGATTCTCCAAATGAGTTTTCATTCAAGTTGTTGAAATAATTTTTTGCAGTAATGTATGAATAATGTGATTGGTGAAATCCTGGCCATATTGAAGTCAATGGCAAAACTCCCACTGACTTCACTCTATATTTGCACCCAAAACGCCATTTATATAAACATCCATTTAAAATATTTAGATTGCAAGCTCCTCAGGATAGGGACTGTCTACTACTCTGTGTGAGTACTGCACAATGGGGCCCCACTCTTGGTTAGTCCCTAAACACAACTGTAACAAACATGATTAATTAAATGTGTACAAAAGCTCATTCCTGATGTAACTCCATGGAAGTCCATGAAAGTACAACAGAGAAAAATATGGTCCCAAACTTTTTGGAGCTCGTTCTTGAAAACACTTACTATTGAGTTTACCTACCCATCAGGGCTGGCTCCAGGCACCAGCGCAGCAAGCTGGTGCTTGGGGCGGCCCATGGAAGGGGGTGGCACGTCTGGGTCTTCGGCGGCGGGTCCCTCAGTCCCTCTCGGAGGGAAGGACCGGCTGCCAAATTGCCGCCGAAGAATGAAGCGGCGCAGTGGAGCAGCTGCCAAAGTGCCGCTGATCGTGGCTTCCTCCCCCCCCCCCCCCTTCCGCCGCTTGGGATGGCAAAAAAGCTGGAGCTGGCCCTGCTACCCATCAACAAATCCACTGAAGTGGGGTGGGATGGGACTTGCGTTCACAGGATCAGATCCTTTGAGAAACTATGTCAGTCTACCATACAATGCAACAGTAGGCAGAACTTAGTAGAAACACGGTAACCACAGGATAACCCAGCCTGTGCTCCAGAACTTCCTGCAACTCTCAGGAGCACTTCATATAGTTCTAGGGCAGGGGTCCCCAACACGGTGCCTGCGGGCACCATGGCGCCAGCCATGGCATCTATGTGCGCCCACCTACTGGCCGCTGGAAAAGCAGCCACCAAAATACCGCCAAGAAGCAGCAACGTCAAGAAGTGTCGCTGCCGAAATGCCGTTGATTTTTGGCAGCATTTCGGCGGCGACGCCTCTTGATGACACTACTTCTCGGCGGCATTTCGGCGGCTGCTTGTCCAGCGGCCACGCTCCTCAGCGGCTAGTCGTCAGGCACCTGCCACACTAAAAAGGTTGGAGACCACTGTTCTAGGGTTTCCAGACATTTGTTCAAGAGCAAGCAGAGATGAACATAGAGATGTCCCCATACTGAAGACCAAATGAGGCACTGGGAACTTAAAGTAAATTAACTGGTGCTCCCAGGATTTCTTCTTGTTGTTCCAAGAAGGCATAGGGAACAGGAAAGAAGAGAGAGGGGAAAATGCCTCCCATTCTCTTCTAGTAGCCTGTCTTAGGGGCAGGGGAGGGAGAGGACAAAGTGTAGAGCCACAGAATAACCATACTGAGACATCCTGCCATTGTGTTGTGATGTTTGTATTGAGATATTGTCATTTCTTTAGATGAGTATACTGGGGCACACTATGGTGATGGATGCAATATAAACACCTAGACAGCCTATATGACAAAGAGATGGGGCTTACACTTCGTCATTCAAAGTCCAAGAAAGACATTTGGTAAAAAGTTTACCAAAAAGCAGAAGGCGCATGGAGTACAATGGATGAGAGTTACTGAGCAGAATCCATCACTCAATCTATAGGAGTTCAATGTAAAGTATTTGCTCAACACTTTCAGATATGGGGTGAAGTCTGCTCCTATTGAAGTCAATGGCAAAACTTCCATTGACTTCAATGGAGCAAGGATTGACGCGTGGTCATTAAATGCCTTAATTAACAATTCTCTAATATGAAAGGGTTTTTTTTAGCACTGTCCAGAATAAGCTCAGTAGCTAAGACTATGACTGAAAACTAATAATCAAGTTTCCTAAATGCTCAGGACCTGAATTCTGCAGGACCCACAGATTTCTCCAGCACAGCGGCACTGAATTTTGCATCACACTAACATATTGATGGCAGCTTCAGCTAAATTCAAGAAGAGGGGCAAGTTCTTTATTTGATTTAGTGCAGTACCTCCAATATCGTCTTCTGTCGTTTTCATGTTAAATTCAATACAAATTGCAATTTGAGGAAGCTTTTCAATTTATGCTTTCCCCAAAATTTCCCATTTTCAAAATGTGACCTATTTTTGTTATGGAGGGAAATCTGGAGGTTTTGGCATCTGGCTGGGGGCCAGCTGTTTGGAATTTTGGCATTTAGAAATGAGTGGAGACCGAGTTTTTGGTGTCAAGGTATGTTTTGATATGGTGCCTCACAAACATTAATAAATGTATCGTCAAAATACTCCTGTGAGATTGGTAACATTGGGATAACATCTACCCTATGGGGACTGAGGCCCAGAGAGATGAATGTGCCAAAGGTCATACAAGAAACCTGAGGTAGAATCTATCTTAACTGGTCATATGGCCCCTCCCTTACCACAGGAGGTAAGCAGCTCCTAATTTTTAACGTATTTAACCTCACAACACCCCTCTAGACAGGTAGATATTATCCCCATTATACAGAGAGCTGACCGAGGCACAGAGATATAATGGGTATGTCTACACTGCAATGTAAGCCCAGGCTCAGATTCAGGCTTGAGCTCAAACCCCCTTTCCATCTACAAACAAATCTCTCAGACTGACTCGGACCTAGGATCCCAGGACACCGTGGGGATGGAGGGTTCAAGACCAAGTCAAGACCAGACCCAGGGTTTGATGCAGTGTAGACTCAGCCTAATAGACTTGCCCAAGGTCACTCAGGAAATCTGTGGCAGAGAAGGGAATTGTCACTGTGACATTGCATCCCATAATGCTTTATGGAAATATGCTTATGAAAGTAAATATGACATAACTGGAATAGGTTTTATGCTAGATAACCTTTGCAGAGATATGTTACATGGCCTATGATCTACTGAATATATTCATCCTATTTGTATGCATGTATCATTTTTGTACTCAAAGTTATGAATATTGGCTGTGTACTTGTTTGATTTTAAGTAGCCTTAGTAAGGCATTTGGTCAGCTTCTTTAGAAAGGAATTTGCAAGTTAAGTGCCCAATCAATAAACACTTAACAGACAATGGATCTTGGAAGACTCCAATCCACATAAGAAGTCTACCTGAGGACGTTCAAGGTGGCATGTGAACAATGGCTTCTACCTGTAAGTTCTGAGTCATGCATGGATATGTGACTTGCTCATGTGACTCCAAAACTCCATTTTGTAGCTGGATTCTACACAGGGGAAGGGAGGGGTATCCACCCACAAGAGAAAGTCTATTTAAAACCCTGGGAGACACCTCCATTTTGTCTTCAGCTGGCTCAAGAGATAGCCTCTCCACCCCCAAGGATCCCTGAAAGAAACTGGAACAAAGGACAGTAACCACCGGGGTGTGAGCGATTGCTGGACCCAGACTAGAAAGAGGCTAGTCTGTAAAAGAAGTTTACTGGAACATCTCTGAGGGTGAGGTTTCATCTGTAATCACATTCTTACTGTATTAGGCATAGACTTACATGTTTTGTTTTATTTTGTTTGGTAATTTACTTTGTTCTGTCTGTTACTACTTGGAACCACTTAAATCCTACTTTTTATATTTAATAAAATCACATTTTATTTATTAATTAACCCAGAGTATGTATTAATACCTGTAGGGGCAAACAGCGGTGCATCTCTCTCTATCAGTGTTACAGATGGCGAACAATTTATGAGTTTACCCTGTATAAGCTTTATACAGGGTAAAACGGATTTATTTGGGGTTTGGACCCCATTGGGAGTTGGGCATCTGAATGCTGGAGACAGGAACACTTCTTAAGCTGTTTTCAGTTAAGCCTGCAGCTTTTTGGGGGACGTGGTTCAGACCTGGGTCTGGGTTTGCAGCAGGCTAGCGTGTCTGGCTCAAACCAGGCAGGGCATTGGAGTCCCAAGCTGGCAAGGAAAACAGGTTAGAAGTAGTCTCAGCACATCAGTTGGCAGTTCCCAAGGGGGTTTCTGTGATCCAACCCGTCACAGTCACCATTCTACATTCAACAATTAAGGGATTACTAGGACAGTTGCAGAGGGAAAAGAGGAAGGGATCCTCCATCCCCTAAATTCCTACAACGAACAGCCACATTTGGGGGAGGGGGGGGAAGCCAAGGAAGAAAGAGAAGAAGCAAAGGAATAGCAAAGGCTGAACTACTTGTGAAATAGCTGCTATACCACTGGCTGAAGATCTCTGTTTTTAAATTTTATCATAAATAACGGTTAGCCATTCACCAGTCTATCTGGTTGGCACTCGCACACTGTTTGATTAAAATATTCATCATGTATCTGGGCCTGTGGGTAACATAGACCTGCTCTCTACTGGACCTTTATACTCACCAGTTTTAAATGCAGTTAATAAAATCTATGTTGTAGAGGAATAAGGATACCGGAATTCTACCATTCAACTTTTAGTGTTTCTTCTTTACTAAGGTTATTAAGATTTTGCTCATCTTGGGGAGAGAAGACAGACTACTTTGTGAGAGGGGATCAGATATGTTTGGAACACTTTAACCCAGCTCCTTTGGCACAAAGTTCTTTAAATAATGAACCATAATAGATCCATCAATATGTACTTTTCTCCCATGGCACTTTCAGATTTTATCCTTGCTGCAGAATTTCTTGTGCTTCCAGAAAGATCACTCAGTACTACAGCATTTCAAAAGCTGAACCAATGGGATTCATTTCACTGGCTCATGCCATCCTCTCCCATAGCAAAATGTCTGGGAGAAGAATCCCCCCCCCCCCAAAATCTCCTCATGATAATCCTCCTCAACTATTCAGAGTAAGAGGGTTAG